TTGACCATAGTTTTTTTGAAAAATGGCATTGGAATTTTGATAGGGATTGCATTGAATCTTTGGATTGCTTTGGGTAGTATAGACATTTTACCTGTATTGATTCTTCCAGTTCATGAGTATGGAATAGCTTTTCATTTATTTGTGTCTTGAATTTCTTTCATTAATGTTTTAGAGTTTTCAATATTTAGATCTTTCACCTACTTCATTAACTTTATTCCTAAGTATTTTGTTCTTTGATACAATTGTAAATGGGGTTGTTTTCTTTATTTTTCTTTCTGAAAATTTTAGTGTATAGAAATTCAACTGATTTTTGTATCTTGCAACTTTACTGAATTCACTTATTAGTTTTAACAGTTTTTTGAAAGTCGAGTTCTCTGTATATACTATATGTCACCTGTAAATACTGACAGTTTCCTTTTTTCTTTCCAATTTGAATGCCTTTTTATTTATTTTTCTTGCCTAATTGCTCTGGCTAGGACTAGATAGCTTAACTGGTGAATAGTCAAAGAACATTTAATACCTATCCTTTTTAAACTCTTCCAAAAAAAATAGAAGAGGAGGGAAGTCTTGCAAACTTACTTTATGAGGCTTTCATTACCTTAATAGCAAAACCAGACAAAGACGCCACAAGAAAAGAAAATTACACAGCTATATCCCTGATGAACATGGATGAAAAATTCCTGAACAAAATATTAGCAAACTGAGTTCAACAATGCATTAAAAGAATCATACACCATGATCAATGTGTATGATTAATTAATCATTAATCATGCAAGGATGGTTCAACATCCTTAAATCAGTGTGATAGATTACATTAACAATATGAAGGATAAAAATCATAATCATCTTAATAAATGTGGAAAAAGCATTTGACAAAAATTTAACATCTAGTTACGATAAAAATTCTCAACAAAGTGGGTATAGAAGGAACATATATCAATGTAATAAAAGCCATATATGACCAGCCCATAGCTAACATCCTACTCAGTGGTGCAAAGCTGAAAGCCTGGGGCACCTAGGTGGCTTAGTCGCTTAAGTGTCTGCCTTCAGCTCAGGTCATGATCCCAGGGTTCTGGGATCAAGGCCCACGCTGGTCTCCCTTTTCAGTGGAGAGCCTGCTTCTCCCACTCCCTTTGCCTGCTGCTCCCCCTGCCTGTGCTTTCTTTCTCTCTCTGTGTCAAATAAATAAAATCTTAAGAAAAAAAAAAGCTGAAAGCCTTTCTTTTAAAATCAGGAACAATACAGGGATGCCTACTCTTGCCACTTTCATTCACCATAATATTAGATTTTATATTGTCATTGCTGTTAGTTACAGGGATTTATACAGTTTCCAAACTATAAGAATCTGTCTATTTCATTATGTAAGTACTTTGTAGAAATGTAAAAATGGAAATTTCTGCAAATGTGGCACTCTTTAGTAACTTCAATATGTATGTCTACTACTTTATTCCACAGTAAGATTTTTTAAAAACATGTTTAGGCTAACCATGGTTTGTTATGAAAGTAGGATTCGTAGTGCCAATATTGAAGAAAATCCCAGCTTTCTTACTGGATTAGAATCAGGCCAGTAGGGTTCAGACATTGGTGTTAGTCTTGTAGCTGTAAGTGTGGAACTTAGCTGTTTGTTGCTGTATGTATTGTAGGCATAGCACATTTTATACATTCAGTTATTGATTTTTGTCCTTTAGGATCAAATGCTCTTACACAGCATTTATAATTTTTTCATTGTATAAATTTCTTGCCTTTCTATTCTTTTTTTTTTTTTATATCAGAACTTTCATTGTTTACTATTCATGTACTTACCCATAATGGGTTAATAGTGTCCATTAAATACCTCAGAACTAAGGACAGGTATACCAAATATAGATTAGCAAACACTGTGTGTGATAGCCATGATTAAACTAAAATGATCTTAAACAACCACTGAGTGTCAGCTAATAGCTGTGGGTATGCCTGAGGAGCCTTTGTTGTACATTTCAACTTTTGAACTCATGTAGAAAGATTGTTTCAACATTAAAATTTCTCTCAAATCTACCTGGGTATATCATACTGATAGGAAAATATAACATACTGTATTTTTAGATCGATAGGGAACTATAACAAAATACTGTGTTTTTCTACTGTTTTTTAAAATATTTATTTATTTATTATTATTTTTTTTTTTATTTGAGACACAAATACAGAGAGATGGGCTCCATCTCAGGACCCAGAGATCATGCCCTGAACCAAAGGCATATGTTTAACCATCTGAGCCACCCAGGCACCCCTTAACATACTATATTTTTAAAAAACTTTATAGTGACTTCACCTTTCACTTGTTATAGTAATATTCAAGCTGAGAGTTTGTCAAAATAATAGAGAATTGGGAGGGAGAAAAGATGGTGGTTTTGAGCATAGATGAAATAAGATTGACCATGTATTGATTATTGTTGAGAATGTTGGACAAAAAGAATTACATTAGCACTTTAAGATAGAGAATCTTGAGTTTTATATCTAATCTCCAAAATAAGAATCTCCAGAGGGGCACCTGGGTGGTCACTCAGTTAAGCATCCAACTCTTGATTTCAGCTCAGGTCGTGATCTCTGGATCTTTGAAATCAAGCCCTGAGTTGGACTCCATGCTCAGGGTGGAGTCTGCTGGTCCTCTCCCTTTGCTCTTCCCCCCACTCTCACACTTGCTGTCTCTTTCACATAGATAGATAGATACATAGGTACATAGATACATAGATAGATAATAGATAAAATAAAATAAAATCTTGGAAAAAAAGAATATTAAGAAAGAAGGCATAGTAATCTATATTTTTGAGAAATACCCTTTGTGAGTTTTATTTGGTTAGTTATACCATTGCACCCAAGGTATATTTTTTGTTTTCCTCCTCATAAGCAGCTTTTTTACTGGTGGAACATCTTGCTAGGATAGTCTATGAATTGTTGCCCAAATCTCTTTATAAAAATTTACCAGTGGGCTCTTCTAGATTATTCCTGTTTACGAATCAAGTGTTGTGACTCTTGATTCACAACCTACTCTTGCTACTGCTCTATTTTTCTAATGTCCTTTATAGCCAAACTACCTGAATTGTCTGTATTTGCTATATCAGGTTATCTTGTTTTTTCTTGAATTGCCTCCAAACATTGTTTTGTTTCTACCACTCCACGTTAAGTAACCTTGTTAAGATAATCAGTGACCTCTGCTACACAGTGGTAATTCCAAATTCTTATTAACATAGTTGATAACTTCTTCCTCCTTGAAACATTTTCACTTTGCTTTTACAATATCATTTTTTTTCCTTGACTCCTTTTGGGTTCTATCTCTACTTTCTGATCTCTTATTTTTGTAATATCCCAGGGTTTAATCATTGGACCTATTCTCTTTTCTGTCTGTGCTCATGCTCTTGATGCTTTCATGTAATTTCATTGCTTTAAATATCATCTGTAGGCAGATGACTTCCAAATTTGTATCCTCAGCTTGGAACTGTCCCCACATCTCTGAATGCCCATATTCAACTGCCTACTAAAGATCCCGCTAGGACATCATTCAGGTATTTTAAACTAATGTTTCTAAATACAGGTTTCGTGTCTCTCTTTTCTCCAACCTGCTCTTCCATAGCCATATTCTGTTTCAGCTTATTGGCAGTTCCACTCTACCAGATTATTACATATGTAAGAGTATGTTGAAGGACAAATTTATTGATCATCTTTGTTTGCTATATGCACAGGTATTTTTTGTGGCATATACTATAAGAATTTGTGGGGAAGGTTAAACAACTCAGGAGTATTAAAACCATTTGGCACAGAGAAAAATAGCCCAATAAATTTAGGGTAACTAAAATTTTGAAACACAAATTTATTAACATTACTGAATTTTTTAACAAAAAGATTGTGTATACTTTTTATTAATGTTACTGTTTTGGGTTTAGGCTATTTTACTTTGTACTATGTACTGTGTAATATTTCACTTTGTTATATGTTTATAGGTACAGAAAACTTCACAATGGTTTAAATAAATGGGGGATTTTGTTTTCTTACATACCAAGAAATCCAGAAGGCAGCAGTTAACATTGGTCTAGTTGCTCAGCAATGCTTTTAGAGATCCCCAACTTGTTTTGTTTTGTTTTTCTTTGTCAACCTTATTAGTTGTTTTAATTTGTTTTTTAATACTCACACTTGTTGACCTATGGTCATAGGATTGTTGTTGCAGCAGTAGACATGTTTACATCTATCCCTGGATAAGGAAAACAAATGTTTGCCCATAAACAACCCCATTCCATCCCCAAAGCAGACTTAATATGTCACTGATCTCAACTGTGTCCTCCAACCCCTTGAGTCTTTCAATTGTGGATAGTTAGCTGGGTCAATTACTGCCCCAAATTTGGAAAGTAAAATTTCTGTAAAGGGAGGAATAGAATCTGATCAGCCATTACCATTGTCTGCTTCACAGAACCATCAGAGACTACTAAATTTAGGGGTGCGCGGATGGCTCGGTTGGTTTAGCGTCCAACTCCTGGTTTTGGCTCAGATCATGATCTTACAGTCATGAGATTGAGCCCTGAGTCGGCTCCATGCTTAGCACAGTCTGCTTCAGATTCTCCCTCCCTCTCTGTCTCTCCCTCACCCTGCTCACTCTCATTTGCTCTCTCTCAAATAAATAAAATTTTAAAAAAACCTGCTAAATTTAAATATAATTGGTGATTTGAATTTATCTGCTTGGAAAAACTTTATTATTTCTCAGTAGGTTCAAATAAAATGGATTTTAATGTTAGGTGAGGGCTATAATTTTAATGTATAGATGAGGGCTCACCGTAGTTTACAAACAATCCAGTGACTGGTTAAGAAGGTAGCTATGTATTTAGAAGTAGCAAATTTGTGTGTTTACACTAGTGAATTTTTGAGAATTATAATTTACCTTTCGAGGCAAATAAGAATTTAGAAGAGATGATGATCCCTTAAAATCATAAAGATCTATTTTTGTTAATTTTGTTTCTTTATTTTGATTTTCATAGAATGTTGGCTCAATTAAGAAACATCAGGGAGATAAATTCAACCCAGTGGTAAGTAACTTTAATTTCTTTTGTTAGAAAGTGTTTGGCTTATTGTTATGCCTTTTTTTTCTTAGTTGGCTTCTCTTTCTCCATTTGATAAGAATATTTTTATGTCTCTCATGTTAAGTCTGGTTTATAAAATGGCTCTTATCATAACACTAAAATTCTAATGAACATTCCCCCTGTTGATCACTTCCTTTTGAGAACAGGCCAGGCTTCCTTTGGTTTACTTCCTTATAATACTGTGTAATGGAGGATCTCTTTGGTTGTTATTATGCATTTATTTCTCTTTCATATGGTATTTTCCTCCTGTACCCTCAATAATTAAGTTCCCCCTCCTTTCTTATCCATCAGTTTTAGTCTGCTAAATTAGGGTCCATTTTTGTATTGGCTCAAGGCCCACTGAATTTAATCTAAGGTCTAAACTGCTCTCTTCATAGCCTCTGTTCACAGGAAATTTTTACTTAAGATGTAAACTGTTTCCTAGAGCATCTGATTTCCTTTTCTGAATTCACTGTCACTTCTGAGAAGTTTTACAATTTCTGACCATCTGTCTGTCTGCAACATGATCTGTTTATGGTTAGCACTACAAAAAAATCTTGAAGGTTGTTTTAGCTTCATTAACAATTACTCTGTCTTATAAATTGCCTTATGCTTCAAGTGTGCTGCACAGATGATAACATCTAAAATAAATACACTCTTTTAAATTACATATATTTGGTAGTAAACATTTCGTGCCCTTTATTCTCAGCTAGCAATTATACTCCCAAATCCATTATGATTCACGAATTTTTTAGGCCATATCTTCCAATTCTTGGGTACTATCATATAAATATAAGCATACAATGTTTATAATTTGATGAACCAGAATATTTTCAGACATCGAACCAACACTGTCCCACAGAATTTTCTGCACCGATAGGAATGTTCTCTGTTGGGGCGCCTGGGTGGCTCAGTCATTAAGCGTCTGCCTTTGGCTCAGGTCATGATGCTGGGGTCCTGGGATCGAGCCCTGCATCGGGCTCCCTGCTCGGTGGGAAGCCTGCTTCTCCCTTTGCCTCTCCCTCTGTCTCTGCTTGTGTTCCCTCTCTCGCTGTTTCTCTGTCAAATAAATAAATAAAATATTAAAAAAAAAAATGTTCTCTGTCTTCTCCTACTGAGTGTAGTAGCCACTAGCCACACATGGGGCTGTTGAGCTTTTAAAATGTGCTTAGTGTGAGAAACTAGATGTTTAATTTTATTTGAATTAACTTGAATTTTAAGTTAAAAATGGTTAAGTTAAAATGGCCATATGTCTAATGGCTACCATATTGGGAAGAGCAGATTGAGTTCCCTTAAGAACTTAAACACACAAGAATAAGCTAAATTCCCCTTTAGCAATGAAATTCTTATTAGATCAACAAAACTGCTTATTCTAATCAGTAAAACTCACCTACATATAAATAAAGATTGTTAATAAACATTCGGTAAACTTTTCTGGGTATTTGTTGACAAAGTTGTTTTGTTTTTGTTGAAGTGTAATGGAGATAACATTATATTAGTTTCAGGTGTACAACATGATGATGATTCAGTATATATATGTATTGCTAAGTGTCCACCACAATAAATCTAATTAACATCCCTCACTGTATGTAGTTACAATTTTTTTTTCTTGCAATGAGAACTTTTAAGATCTACTCTTTTAGCAATTTTCAAATATGCAGTACAGTATTATTATTAACTATAGTCACAATGCTATGTGTTATATTCCCATGAAACAAAGATTTTATGTAGAAACTTTTATGTTTGACATCATAGTGTAGGGGAGGAAAAATTTTTCCTTGACCCTTTTAGGGTCTTTGGCTGTGTCTGAAAACTAACCTGACAAGTACAGTATTATTATTATTAACTGTAGTCACAATGCTATGTGTTTTATTCCCATGAAACAAAGATTTTATGTAGAAACTTTTATGTTTGACATCATAGTGTAGAGAAGGAAAAATTTTTCTTTGACCCTTTTAGGGTCTTTGGCTGGGTCTGAAAACTAACCTGACAAAAACAGTTTAACAGGAGAAAGCATGCACATTTCATACAAGTTTTAAGTGCACAGGAGCCTTTATGAGGAGTAAGGACATAAAAAAAAACATTAAAACTTAGTATATTCATGCTAGACTTGATGAAGAGTGTAGGCTTGTGTATCATAGGTTAGAATATGAGGTAAGTGTAGTAACCTGGGCAAAGTTTAGAAAAGCCCATTTGTTAGGATTCTTCTCCATTCTTGAGAGATTGGGCAGCTCTTTTCCACCAGTTATATAAGGAAGGCATCTCTCACATGGGGATTTTATGACTTATTTCAGTAGAGAAGTAAAAGGGGAGGCCAGCATGACCTTCCTGCTTCGAAAGTATTCAGTATGTCAGGGTACCATACTTTGGAGTGGTGTATTCTGAACCCCATCAGTATTTTATTTTTGTAAACCCTAAAGGAGAAGTGCCTAGTAAAGACCTATTGATATTTTAATCATTTTGAGAACCTGAGTTCAAGTATATCGTTATGTATTGAGAAGTAGTATAATGCAGTAAGAGCACAGAATCCGTTTCTTTATGGAAATACAGGGATCTTAGATATACGAAGATGAAATGAGAATATACATATATTTTATCTAAAGAACTTAGCACAGTGCCTGGCACATGGTGATTGACTAAGAATAGTCCTATTTTTAAAAAGATTGCAAGGGAAATACTTAGTTGTCAAACACTTTAAGAATATCATGTAATTTGACTTACTCTCAGCAAACAAACTGAGGGTTGCTGGAGTGGTGGGGGGGGTGGGAGGGATGGGGTGGCTGGGTGATAGACATTGGGGAGGTTATGTGCTATGGTGATCGCTGTGAATTGTGCAAGACTGTTGAATCACAGATCTGTACCTCCGAAACAAATAATACAATATATGTTAAAAAAAAAAAAAAAAAGAAGATAGCAGGAGGGGAAGAGTGAAGGGGGGGATATTGGAGGGAGAGACGAGCCATGAGAGACGATGGACTCTGAAAAACAAACTGAGGGTTCTGGAGGGGAGGGGGTTGGGGGGATGGGTTAGCCTGGTGATGGGCATTAAAGAGGGCACGTTCTGCATGGAGCACTGGGTGTTATACACAAACAATGAATCATGGAACACTACATCAAAAACTAATGATGTAATGTATGGTGATTCACATAACAATAAAAAATTAAAAAAAAAGAATATCATGTAATTTGAAATAGAAGTTGGTAGTAGTGCGTTGCAGAGCCATATTGAAGCCTGAGGCAAAAGAAAAAAAATAGTAATACCAATCCTGTCTTTATTTAAAAATTAGTCATTTTGTTCATAAATAGATTATTTTTCAGTGATTTTAACTTAAAAAATAATGCATTAAAATATTTGATTACTGAGTTTTTTTGGTGCCTCTCCTATTTTGTGCTTGAGGCAGTTTCCCTCACTGGCTTCAACATAATCATGGCCCTGGTTAGAAGTCTTCTATTACTCTAATTGTCTTCTGATCAAGGCAAGAATTTATATTTTACAAAGAGTTGTTAACTGATTAGCAGTCATTCTTATTTATTGAAGTAGGCTTTTGTTTGGTAATATAATCTGATAGACTAGTTGGAATTAACCTATGGATAGGTTAAAATTAGCCTGGAGAATTTTCATTAATTCAGAATTAAACCTTTCTCCCATTTAATTTGAAACAGTGAAGTCTGTATATCTTTACTGAAGCAAGTGTATTCTCTAATGTGTAATCTTACACAGATAGAGGACCTGTAAGCTCTTTGACCGGTATTTAATTGAAACCAATACACTTGGCATGTATTGAAATTTTGATGTGGAAGAGCCTTGGAAACTTAAAGGGGTGATGATTCTGATGGCTTATTAAGGAAGACCTGAAAATATCTTTGCAGTCCTACTTCCTACTCAGAGCTGGGTGTAGTCAGATTCTTAATATTAAATTTATTTATTTGAGAGAGAGAGGCATGAAAAAGGGGAACAGAGGTAGAGGGACAAGCAGACTCCCTGCTGAGCATGAAGCCCAATGTGGGGCTTTATCCCAGGACCCTGAGATCATGACCTGAGCTGAAGGCAGATGCTTAACCAATTGAGCCACCCAGGAGCCCCCAAATTCTTTTTTTTTTTTTTTAAGATTTTATTTATTTATTTGCTAGAGAGAGAGAGCATGGGCGAGAGATAGTGAGCAAGAGCACAAGCAGGGGGAGCTGCAGGCAGAGGGAGAAGCAGGCTCCCCGCTGAGCAGGGAGCCCGATGCGGGACTCAGTGAGATCATGACCTGAACTGAAGGCAGCCGCTAACCAACTGAGCCACCCAGGCATCCCAAGGCGCCCCCAAATTCTTAATTAAAAAATAGCTCTTACCCAGAAATTAAAGAAATATCTTGGTTGTATTAGGGTATTTCTAGTTGAGAATAAGCAGGACTCGTAAAGCATGATTCTTATAGAAGCATATAAATAGGTATTTAGCAGATCATTTTTAAAGTACAGAAGTACATGAGTTTCATTTGAGATTCAATATGTATAAATTTATATAAATTTTGACAGTAACACAATATTTAAATGTATTCCTTTGGGTGAGTATAAAGAAGGAGGTACTTATCTTTGACATATAGATTGTGATAAATGAATTGTAATTTTTTTTTGAAAAATTGTTGGTTATAACATGTTTTAACTGAATTTATTTTTATTTGAATATTGCAGTGTCTAAAAATGACTACAAAACGAAGTTTGTTTGTGCGGTTGGTACCATGTCGTTGTCTACGAGGGGAAGAAGAGACTGTTACTACTCTTGATTATTCTCATTGCAGTTTGGAACAGGTTCCCAAAGAGATTTTTACTTTTGAGAAAACTTTGGAGGAGCTCTATTTAGATGCTAATCAGATTGAAGAGCTTCCAAAGGTATGTTCATACTTTCTTTTAAGAATTGTCTTTGGATATTTTTATGCAAGAAATATGATATCCCCATTGTTGCCATAATGCTGCCAATATGTTTGTGTTTCCATTGTTTCCTTTTTTGTTTGTTTGTTTAATTTTATCTTGGGGTATGCAACAGAATTTTAAGAACATTTTTTTAAAAGATTTATTTATTTACTTGAGAGAAAGAGAGCGCATGAACAGGAAGAGGAGCAGAGGGAGAGGGAGAAAGAATCTCAAGTTCTCTGTGCTGAGCGTGGAGCTCTACACAGGGCTCGATCTCACAACCCTGAGATCCTAACCGGAGCCAAAACCAAGAGTCAGACGCTTAACCAACTGCACTACCAGGCACCCCCAATTTTTTTTTTTTTTTTAAGATTTTATTTATTTATTTGAGAGAGAGAGAATGAGAGATAGCATGAGAGAGAAGAGGGTCAGAGGGAGAAGCAGACCCCCTGCCGAGGAGGGAGCCCGATGCGGGACTCCAGGATCATGACCTGAGCCGAAGGCAGTCGCTTAACCAACTGAACCACCCAGGCGCCCACCCCCAGTATTTTTTAAAATAGAATTTTAACCTTTGTTTCTTCAAGTTAATTGCTTGAGTATTTGAACAAGTAAGTTAAAATTTTGTATTTAATTTCCATTTTTTATAGCCCCTATGGTAGATAGAACTACATTATTTCTGTAGCCAATAGATTTAGCTAGACAAAAATTGAAATTAATGTTTTCTTTTTCTAGTTATCATAAGACATTGGTTTACATGGGGCGTCTGGGTGGCTCAGTCATTAAGGGTCTACCTTTGGCTCAGGTCGTGATCCCAGGGTCCTGAGATCGAGCCCCGCATCAGGCTCCCCACTCTGCGGAAGGCCTGCATTTCCCTCTCCCACTCCCCCTGCTTGTTTTCCCTGTCTGGGTGTCTCTCTCTCTGTCAAATAAATAAAAATAAATCTCTAAAAAAAAAAAAAGACACTGGTTTACATTATTATAATTGAGAATAAATTGTCCTTTTGGTTGTCACCTAATAATTTTGTTATTAAGCAGGTTTTTAGAGGGGGTATCCTGTTTGCCCTATTTCAGTTTGTTTAGAAAGGTTTTGGAGGACGTAACATTTCTGAAATCTAAGAACAACTAGAGGGAGGAAAGTTGTTTTGTTGCCATGAAATATCCTCTTACATTATCAGTTTCTTTGCTAAAATTTTTCAGTGGCTACTTTTTCTTTTTCTTAAAAATCCCTCTTCATTCTCAACTCATTTTCTTGTTTATTATGGAAAAGCTTCAGTAGCTTTCTTTTTTTTTCCAAAATTTTATTTAAATTCTAGTTAGTTAGCATCTACTGTAATATTGGTTTCAGGGGTTGAATTTAGTGATTCATCACTTACATGTAACATACATTGCTCAACATGAGAAGTGCCCTCCTTAATACCCATCCATTTAGCCTATCCCCCACCCACCACCCCTCCAGCAACCCTCAGTTTGTGCAGTAGTTTTAATTTGTTAGAATATTTTACTACCCAAACAGTAGTGTTTATCAAAACTGGATGGAGATGTGTTGGTGGCTTATAAATATGTGTGGCATTTCCAAAAAATGAACTATGATTTGCCCTGGTGGATTTAGAATATAAAAATAGAGAACACCCAGTTAAATTATACTTTTTAGATGAACAATGAATATTTTTTTAGTATAAGTGTGTTTTATGCAGTAAATAGGACATACTTCTACTAAAATTTATTCATTGTTGGGGCACCTGGGTGGCTCAGTTGGTTAAGCACCTAACTTCAGCTCAGGTCATGATCCCAGGGTCCTGGGATCAAGCCCCGCATCGGGCTCCCTGCTCAATGGGGAGCCTCCTTCTCCCTCTCCTCTCCCACTGCTTGTGCGCTCTCTCTCTCTCTCTCTCTCTCTCTGTCATATATAAATAAAATCTTTAAAAAAATTATTCATTGTTTATCTGAAATCCAAATTTAATATCAGGCATCCTGTATTTCATCTGGCAACCCTAATTAAAATAGAATAGAAAATACAGTGTGTAGTATGTGTCCATTGTTGCATGAGCTATATGTGTTAAATTTCTGTGTGTGTGTACACATATTGGATGGCAGTGCTTTGAAAAAGGCTTTTCCTTTGGTGGTTAGTAGTAAAAACATTTGGAAAGCCAGTGCCATCCAAGGTTGTCTTATAAAGAAATCTGTATATGGCTGTGGATAAAATATTAAAGATTGTGAGTTGCAAGTTTATGAATTACTTCCCTAGGTTATAATAAGGTGCTTTGTAATTTACTGTTTCCTTATATATTGTTCTTTAGAAAGTAATTTATCTTACTTAGGTTATTCTGGAGAACTAGGAAGCCTGGAGAACTTAGTCCCTTTCTGTAATAAGCACTAGTAGGGTCTCAGCCTGGTGATTGAGTAGAAAAGAGAGAGGCTTGCTGTGACAGTGCAGATAACTGAATCACTTATACTTCTTTCAGGTTTTGGAAGAATGCTCTTCTTAAAAAGGGCTTATTCAGTGTCATCCTGGTAACAGTTTTTTGTTTGGTTTTCTAAACAGTTTACTTTTTAAGAACAGTTTCAGATTCATTGCAAAATTGAGATTTCTCATATACCTACACTATCCTCACACATGCATAGCCTCCACCATTGTCAACATTCTCTGTGAGAGTGGTACTTATATTAAAATTGATGAACCTATGTTGAAAAATTATCATCACCCAAAGTCCAGAGTGTATAGTATGGTTCATGCTTGGTGTTGTACATTGTATGAGTCTGGACAAATGTATAATGAAATGTATCTGTGATTTGGTATTAGGATACTGAGTATTTTCATTGCCCTAAAAATTCTCTGTGCTCCATACAGTTTTTTGGTGTGGAATGTAGAAGTGACCCATTTACCTACACTTTTGGTTAAATATATTTTATTTTAAATACATTTTATCATTGTGATTTTAGCCTAAGAATGTATTTGTTCCTTAATTTTTTTGTCATCCCAAATCAGAATTATATATTTTGAGTCATTCTAAGTCAGTTGTACATATTTGGAGTTAATTTATGTAAATTTTCATTTCGGAATAAGGGTGCTTGAAATGCAAGTTCCAAAGTTTGCCATATTTAATAGCCACTTAGTTTTTACTACTTTAACAAAGAATACAACCATATAGTTACTGAGTGCGTTTTGCTTGGGGCAGAAGTATGAGGATGTAAATGATTGAGTAGTTCAGTTGTGTTCAGATCCATAATAGCATGAAACAATAAGAGATCATCCCTGGGATTTATGTAGGTATAATTCATTCAGTTTAACCACACTAATAGCGTGGTTATTTATTTGTGTAAGGGTTAATAAATGAAATCTTTAAGGAAACTTAAATAATCAAAATCCTTTCTTCCCTTGTTTCAATAGCAACTTTTTAACTGTCAGTCTCTACACAAACTGAGTTTGCCAGACAATGATTTAACAGCATTACCAGCATCTATTGCAAATCTCATTAATCTCAGGGAACTGGATGTCAGCAAGAATGGTAAGATTTTTTTTTTCCCTTGGCTTTCTGTACTTAGGAACATGTAATTTTATTAAGATTTCTATTGTGTGTTAGCAAAAATACAAAATTAAAAAGTGTTATATTACCTTTCGCATATATAAAACGTATACATATGATAGTTTAAAGCAATGTTGAGATAAATGTAAAAACTTTAAATGACCTTTTAATTAAAATGCTGTGGATACATGTATATACTTAGGTATCCTTAAATTTATATATTTGTATATATTCATTGTCCTATTGTTTGTAATGATGAGAAGCTATTAACAACTGTAGTATCCACAGTTGGTTGTGCTATTTATATGTAGCCATAGAGAGGAATTTAATGTTGCTCCATCAATACCGGCATGAGTATTTACGTTACAGTGTTAAAGGTTAAAAATAAAGTTGTGCAACATTATAAATGAACTGAACATCATTGAATATTTCTTGCTGAGTACTGTATTAGGACCTAGGATTACAGTTGATGATGAGAAATAAAGGGACATGGTCAGTGTTCTCTTGCTGCATATAGTCTAGGCTTAGTTTGATATATACTTAGGACCGTGTGGAATATTCCAAAATGTTAAGTGCTTACCTGGTCCAATAGAGAGAGAAGTAGATACTTAAATTTTAGACTGAACATGTATTTCTTACATAATTACAAAAAAAAATTACAAGAGAGTAAATATTAAATGGTCTGCCAAAAGATAAGACTTCAACAAACACTAAATACTAAGTTATATTTAAATAATTCTTTATAACATTTGGAAAAAACTTTATGAGCAAGTTCCAAAACATTAGTGCAGTATCACCAGTAAATGCCTAGCAATCATAGCTCTTGGTTGCACAGTTACTTTTTGTCTTGATGATACGAATATACAGGAGTGATCTTTCTGTCATATCAGTTCTATATTTTAGGACTTACTATGAAAACCACTTTAGGACTGATTAAAAGATCCATCCTCTTTTCACAATTAACAGTTAACTTTTAATGAATTTACAACCGTGCCTACCCATTTCTATAAAAAAATTAGTTTAAATAAAATAAATATATGTGTTTATTACATGCCTTCATTTACTAAACCCTAATTATTTTAGTTGTGGACAATCCATATCAAATAATTGTATATTTTGTAGGAGGGTCCTCAATTTAATACCTCTATTTTAAGGGTTAAATCCTTTTTAAGGAGCTATAATGTGTTCACGTTCATTCTAGGTTCAGGGAAGGTTATAGTGGTTAGTGCACTACTGGGTTTTAGTTGTCAATAGCCAATAAATTTTAAGTTTGAAACTTGTAATTTTTTAAACTTCTATTGAAACATTTAACTTTTGGGTTAAAAATTTTCTGTTACTTGGGGGCACTTGGGTTGCTCAGTCGTTAAAGCCTTGATCTCAGTTCTTGGTCTCAGATCTTGATCTCAGGGTTTTGAGTTCAAGCCCCATGTTGGGTGTGGAACCTACTTAAAAATTTTTTTTTCTGTGATATGAAAAATTTGTGTTTAAAAAATTTAGGATTTAATTACTACTTAGATTGGATTCATTTATATCCTGTTTTTCTCCAACATTTAAAAAATTTCATAGCCAGATTAAAAGCCTGCATAAAAATTGACAGAACACTGGGGCGCCTTGGTGGCTCAGTCGTTAAGCATCTGCCTTCAGCTCAGGTCATGATCCCAGGATCCTGGGATCGAGCCCCACATCGGGCTCCCTGCTCAGTGGGAAGCCTGCTTCTCCCTCTCCCACTCCCCCTGCTTGTGTTCCTGCTCTCACTATCTCTTTCTCTGTCAAATAAATAAATAAAATCTTTAAAAAAAAAAATTGACAGAATACTGATGGATTCACCCACTGTTAGCATTTTGCCATGTTTGCTTGCTTTCTCTTTTAAAAATATATATGAACTTAAATATGTTCAGGGAAAAGATACGTTGTTGCTTATATAAAATTTCTATTTGGTAGACCTATTTAAAATTTTAAGTTGCAGACATGAACTTTACCTTTAAATATTGGAAGAAGCATTTCCGAAGAACAAGGAAATCCTTACACATAACCACAATATCATTATCACTTTCAAGAAATTTGACACTACATTTTCCCTGTTGCTTAAAAATGCCCTTTTTAGCTATTTGCCCCTCTACCCCCCAGTTGAAGATCACATAGCATTCAGTTGTGTCTCTTCAATCTTTTAAAATCAGGAACAGTTTGCCCATCTTTTTGTGTTTTTCATGACATTGCCATTTTGAAGAGTTCAGGTCAATTGGTTTTTAATTTGTGTGGCTTTTCCCCCCATGATTTTATTTAGGTTAAATAGATTTCCTCAGCTTGAAACTTCTCTTTAAGGGCAGTTTGAAATGAGTTTCAATTCTGGGTGCTTTTTTTAGAGTGACAAGTATTGATAAATTTCAAAGAACTTAATCCACTGTCATTGCAGCTCTCCATATGCTGATAGTTAATTCAACTCGATAGTATTACAGAACTATAGAATTGTTGTGACATTAGATATCATCAAGTTTAACATTCCATCCCAAAGAGTTGTTTTCTACTTTTTGATCTTTTTAAATGGGAAATGTTAAAGCATAAGGAAAGAAATCTAAAATAATCTTGAATGTTACTAATACAATTGTATGCACCTGGGAAAAGCTGGCAAACTGCGACCACTCTTCATGGTATGAAAATAATACTTCGCTCATTAATGAACATGCTTGCATATATCCTGAAAAATGCATTAACTCTGGATTTGTTACTCTGAATTGAGAATGGTGCAATTATGGTGCAGCAGCATCCTTAATATCTTAGACTTTCATGCAACTTCTTAAAGAATAGTGTGTTTGAGTTATGACAACCTATTGGGCTGTAGTGTTTCTCTTTTTTTATTCTAGTTTCAGCACGTTTTTGTTGTTGGTTATATTGAAAACCTGTTGTATATGATTGTATCAGCTGGTGTTTTTGAGGAGTTGGAAATAATTTCTATATGGTGAGAAGATTTAAGATAAGCACTCAAGTATTCTGCCCAGAAAGACAATGACATTAGTTATTGCTGTCAGTGAAACCTTACAATTTATTTTCACTAAAAATTAAATTGATTTATGTATTCTTCTCTTTCTCTGTGATTTCACAGAGAAAGGACCTCCTCTGTATTTTAAGAGGCATAATCAGTCCCTTGCCTTTTACTTGTTTGCTTGTTTTTTTCTCCTTTTTGTCTTAAACTCATCTAAATGCAACTGCACTGAAGTGTAAATTTGTTTAATTTGCTCTTCCTTTTGTGGCTAAAGTTTTGCTTTATTGTTAGCTTTTTAAAGAAATAAAAAGTTCGCCACACTGCTGTCCCAAGTCATTGCAAAAAACAGCTAGTGTTTGAGAAATAATCATTTCTTATGTTCAAATGCCTATCCTTCTTGAGAAGACTAAGGGGATGATGATTAAAACATTCTGCTACGTGGTTGATTGGGAAAGCTGGTGGGGAAAGGGAGATAAAAGAAAGGAAGACTAACCTAGTTGTTAATTCATCTGTCTGAACACATGGAACAGAAAGCCAGGAAATTATAAGGCAGAAAAACCAGAAAGAATAGCTCAGATTTTTCTAACTGATAGGGGAATGCTAGAGAGGTTAAATAAGGCCTTTCTTTTTAATTGAGTCAAAAAGCCCTGGAAGAATGAATTGAAAGTTTGTGGTGAAAACAAAGCAGTTCACTAAACCTGAGAATATCTGATGATAGGGACCAACTGCTAGAAGAGGCTCTTCTCTTTAAGCTCAGAGAAGTTAAACTGATTATGAGGAAAACTACAGTCACTTTTTCTCCTGTTTTCAAATTTCTGAAATTGCTAATGTGCTCTATAGTTGTTTAAATTGAGCTCTTTTAATAAATCAGTTTGATTAAGATCATGAAAGAGGAAAAACCGTGTGTTAAACTAACCTAGAACTTAAAAATATTTAGACCAGTAATCACTGGTCACTGCCAAGTATGTTAATAATGTAGACTGTAACTGGGGTGTTCCACTTACTATACCTTACCATAGGCCTTATCACTCGTGTTTTACCTGGTCAAATCCTACATCTGTTACCCCTTGGCCAGTGTAATTATTTGAGTTTGCAATTCCTGGTTTAGACTGTTTTGACTGGGACTCACTGTTATATTATGTACTGTTTATATTACCATAGCCTTTTAAGTGCAAAAACAGTAAGGAACCAGTATTAACTTATATTCTATAATTAGTATATTGAAGTATTGATGCCCTCCCAGCAGAGATCACCAGGAACTCACCTGTGGTTGAACGGTTCAGGTTTATTACTTGATGCAGTGAACAAAAACCCATACTAAAGGGTGTCTCAAGGTGTTAAAAAAAAAAAAAAGACTTAATATAGGATTTGGACTTACATTTGGTGATATGGGGGAGGGTTTAAGAATATGAGGTTTTGCTCTGGTTGGTGTCAAGAAGTAGGGGTAGTTCTATCATTGGGAATCCTTTATTTGTTTGTTTATTTATTAAGATGTATTTAGAGAGAGAGCGTGAGTCAAGGGAGACAGTCTTCAAGCAGACTCCCTGCTTAGTGCAGAGCCCATGAGATCCCATGAGATCACAACAACCTCAGCTGAAACCAAGAGTTGGACACTCTACCGACTGAGCCACCCAGGCATCCCTGTGATTGGGAATCTTAATTTTATCTATAGCAAGGGTAGAATAGAACAAGTCTAAAATTGTAATTGATAAACAGCTACATTCAATAGTTGGAAGAAGGTGTTGTTTGGTATTTTGTGTTTTGGACGATGTTCATATTTGTTTAGACATGATTATAGTTGACCCTTGAATGATGTGGGGGTTAGGAGCTTCAACCCCCTGCATTGTTGAAAATCTCTGTATAACTTTTAACTCCCCCTGCAGCCAACTTAACCATACTCACAGCCTACTGTTGACCCGAACTATTACCCCTAACATATATATGTATAATACATATAACATACATATAACATACAACATACAAAATATGTGTTATATATTAT